TGTAAACAGAAACCAGTACTCAAAGTCTGTTATGAAACACGGGATGCCACAGGTAGGGGCCAATGTACTGAAAAAGCACAGAAGAGAGAATGGTCAGTTTGGACTTAAAGATCAAGCAGATTTCACTTTTGAGATCCACCCTCAGAAAGGAGTAAAACTTCAGGCAGAAAGGGAAGGTGGGGTGGTGTTGTGCATAGCGGGCTAAGCCACCTCTTGGAGAGCCTGCGTCCCTCTTAAGATGCCCCTATCCCATGTGGGAGTGCTGATTCTAGTCTGGCTGCTCCACCTCCAAGCCAGCTTCCTGATAATGTGCCTGGCAAGGCAAGTAAATCATAGCCCAAGTCCTTGGATCTCTGCTTCGCAGACCCAGGTGGAGTTCCAGGCTCCTAACTTTGGCCTGGCTCAGTCCCCGTTGTGGCAGGCATTTAGAGTGGACCAATGGATGGAAGATTCCCTCTCTCTCTCTCTCTCTCTCCCTCCCTCCCTCCCGTCTCTTGCATTTCCTTCTCCCTCCTATCTTCTCTCCTAACCTCCTTCTTTCACTCTGCCTTTCAAATAAATATATAAATAAATAGATATTTTTAAAAAGGAAAAAGGAAATGATAAATTATAGTGTCAGATGCATACATCTGAAAGATTTTGATGAGTACTACAAGGGTGAGAGGCCCTCATGGTGAGATATGAAGGCACTTAAAGTTTATGGAAAATGGAATACAACTTCAGAGTTTGTTTCAGTGAAAAGATTTTTTTGTAATATGTGGAAAATGTGTATTATGGAAAAACTGCATATATTTCAAAGTTGTTTTTCACCCAAATAAACATACTTTAAATTCCAGTTTTCCGTGAACTTTTAATGAATGGCAGTGTTGGGAGGACGATGTGAAGGATAGAAAGACAGAGGGAAAGAATAAGAGGGTCCAGGAAGGATTTGAGTTTAAATGAGCTTTCTTGTGTAGATTATCCGGCAAACAGCAGGTACTTGTGCTAGATCTAAGAATTTCTCATTTCATTGTCCTTTATATCAAGTCATACTTGTTTTTTTTTTTGCTAAATTATTTTAACATAAGTTAAAAAACCCAAACAAATTTTAGAAATTCCACTTTCATTTCCAAATGTGTTTTCTCAAGGAGCCTGGAAAAACAAACAAATAAAAAAAAACTTGGAGTAGGATAAATTAGAGAAAATGAAGAGCAAATTTCTCAACATTTGTTATTTGGGGAAGATGTTATTCTTTTTCTTCCACATTTCTTTTTTAAAATTTTATTTTAATGGTTAGTTTTTAACAGATTCATTATGATCTGTCCATGCAATTCTAAGAACACAATGATATTCCCTGCCTCCCTCCCTCCCCAACTCTCCCTCCTACCTTCCTTCCTCCTGCCTTTTTTTTTTTTTAGTTTTTGAGATGACATGTTTTAAATTTACATTATAGTAAAAAGGCTTAATAGTTTACTGAATAAGAAGTTTAGCAAATAAAAAGCAAAAAGACTCTAATGGGAAGATAGGCAATGACTATAAACAATTGAATGGGAAAATGACAGTTTCACCCATATATAGTACATTTAAAAATAATCACAGATCATTAAAACTACAGTAGTATAACATTTTTTTTAAAGATTTATTTTATTCATTTGAAAGACAGAGTTACAGAGGGAGGTGGATCCAGAGAAAGAGAGGTCTTCCATCCACTGGTTCACTCCCCAAATGACTGCAATGACCAGAGCTGAGCTGATTTGAAGCCAGGAGCCAGGAGCTTCCTCCGGGTCTCCCGGAGTGCAGGGGTCCAAGGACTTGGGCCATCTTCCACTACTTTTCCAGGCCATAGCAGAGAGCTGGATTGGAAGTGGAGCAGCTGGGACTCTAACCGATGCCCATATGGGATGCCGGCACTGCTGGCCACAGCTTTAACCTGCTGTGTCACAGTGCCGGCCCCAGTATAACATTCTTAATCATTGATTTGACAAAAGTATAAAACAAAGTTTTGCAAAACTATGTTTGCAGCAATACTGGTACTCATAGACATTTCTTTTTTCTTTGTTTGTTTTTTAAATTTTAGTTTCTAGATAAAAGGGAGAACATCCAGTATGTGTCTTTCTGGGTCTAGCTTATTTCAATCAACGTGATGTCCCCCAGTTGCGTCCATTTTACTACAAATGGTAGAATTTCATTCTTTTTTATAGCTGAATACTGTGCATATATACCACATTTTTAATTCAATCATCTGATGATGGGCATCTTTGTTGATTCCTAATTTTGGCCATTGTGAACAGTGTTCCTATAAACATGGTGCATGATACATTGTGTTCAAGTCTTTTGGGTATATGCCCAGTAGTGGGATTGCTGGATCAAATGGCAACTCTATTTCTAGACTTTTAAAGAAAACACCATACTGTTTTCCACAATGGCTGCACTAATTTACATTCCCACCAACCGTGTATAAATGTTCCCCTTTCTCCACATCCTCACCAGCTACTCTCTGTGATTTAGATTTTAACATTCTATCAGAGATGAGGTGATATCTCATTGTGGTTTGATTTGCATTTCCCTGATGGGAAATATATCATATGTTTGTTGGCCATTTATATATAATACATTTGTTGGCTATTTGTGTTTCTTCTTTTGAGAACTTTCTGTTGAGGTCCTTTTCCCATTTCTCAACAGGATTTTTTTAAAGATATATTTATTTATTTGAAAGGCAGAGTTAGGAGGAGAGAATGAGAGAGACAGATCTTCCATCTGTTGGTTCATTCCCCAAATAGCTTCAGTGATCTGGGATGGTTCAGGCCAAAGCCAGGAGCCAATAGCTTTTTCCATGTCTCCCACGTGGGTTCAGGGGCCCAAGCACTTGGGCCATCCTCCACTGCATTCCCAAGAACATTAGCAGGGAGCTGGATTCAAAGTGGAGCAACCAGGACAGGAACAGGCACCCATGTGGGATGCCAGCATCACAGGTAGTGGCTTTACCTGCTGTACCACAATGTTGGCCCCATTGGTTGTTTTTCTGTTGTTGAGTTTTTTAAGTTGCTGATATATTCGGGACATTAATCCTTTGTCAGGTGGTTTGCAAATATTTTTTCCCATTGTGCTGGGTGTCTCTTCACTCTGTTGATTGTTTCATTTGCTGTGTAAAACTTTCTGAGTGTGATATAGTCCCATTTGTTTAGTTTTGCTTTTGTTGTCTGTGCTTTGAGGATTTTGTCCAAGAAGTTTTCCCTTATACCAATGTTTCCCCTATGTTTTCTTCCAGTAATTTCATAATCTCAGGTCTTTGATCCATCTTGAGTTGATTTTTGTATTTGGTACACATATATATCCAGTTTTGCCAGCACCATTTGTTGAAGAGATTACTCTTGCTCCACTGTGTGGTCTGAACAATTTGGTCAAAAATCAGTTGGCTGTATGTATGTAGATTAATTTCTGGGCTCTCTATTCTGATACATGGATCTATATATCATTTTTTATGGTACTCCATGTTGTTTTAGTTACTATAACTTTGTAGCATGCTTTGAAGTCAGTTACTGTGATACCTCCAGCTTTATTTTTCTTGTTCAGGATCACTTCAGCTAATCTGGGTCTTTTGTGATTTCGTTTAGATTCATTTAAGTTTCATTTAGGATTAGTTTTTCTAATTCTTTAATGAATGTCTTTGGTATTTTGACACAGATTTCATTGAATCTGTAGATTGCTTTAGGTAGTGTAGAAATTTTAATGATATTGATTCTTCTGATCCACGAGCAAGGAATATCTTTCCATTTTTTTCTGTTCTTGATGATTTCTTTCATCAATGTTTGATAATTTTCACTGTAGAGGTCTTTCACTTCTTTGGTTAAATTTATTCCTAAATATTTGATTTTTTGTGGCTATTGTGAATGAGATTTCTTTATTTCTCTTTCACCATTAGCATACAAAAAAGCTTCTGCAACTTTACTGAATTGGTTTATCAATTCTTTTTTTTTTATAACAGTTTTTTGGTGGGATGTTCAGTTTTCCCATGTAAAACATCATGTCCTCTGCAAACATGGATAATTTGACTTCCTCTTTTTCAGTTTCAATGCTGTTTATTTCCTTCTCCACCATAATCACTCTTGCTAAAACTTCCAGTACTATATTGAATAAGAGTGGTGAAGTGGACATCCTTGTCTTGTTACAGATCTGAGGGGAAATGCTCTGTTTTTCCCCATTCAGTATAGTATTGGCTGTTGGTTTGTGAAATATAGCCTTTAAAATTTTGAGGAATGTTCCTTCTATACCTGATTTTTGAGGGTTTTTTTTTTTATCGTGAAGGTATGTTGAATATTATCAAATGCTTTCTCTGCATCTATTGAGATGACCATATGGTTTTTGTTCTTTATTCTACTGATGTGATTTATGACGTTTATTGATTTGCAAATGTTGAACCACCTTTGTGTTTCTGGGATAAATCCCACTTGATCATGATGTATGATCTTTTTGATGTGGTTTTGGATTTAATTTGCTGGTATTTCGTTGAGAATCTTTTCATCTGTGTTTATTAAGGATATAGACCCCTAGTTTTCTTTTTGTGTCTGCCTTTTCTACAATGGGGAAAACTTTAAATAAATCCTTGACAGAAGCCACAATTGAGCACTACCAATTCCTTTCATCAGAAAAAAATAAAATAAAAAACCATTAAAATATGAGGAATGAATAACTAATAAAAATAAAAGGAAATGTTTGCTTTCCCAGAGAGTTTTTATTGAGTTTTTTCTTTGTTGTTGTTAGCTCTATTTCGTGGAGGTTCTTGGTGCTGTTATTGTTGGTAGCTATATAAGAAGTATAGAGGGTTTTTGTTTAAAAAATGACTTTATAGATACTTTGCATTTAGAGTTTGTAAGTTTGGGTATTCTGTTTTCATCTCTGCTAATTAAATAGTATATTAATATACTCCGTATGAACTTGGAGCAGCTGTTAACTATTTTATCAAATACATATTTAATGAGACAAATATATTTCTAACTGTACTTTTTTGTCTTTTCTGGCAGATGACATTTGATCCAGAAATATTCTTCAATGTTTTGCTGCCACCAATTATATTTCATGCTGGGTATAGTCTGAAGAAGGTAAATATATGATGATGATTTTCTTCTATCATTACTAAGAAGAGATTTTACTATCACTAATAGAAAAAAACAGTTATTTTATGGGCTTGCCTATTTGATAAGAATATCACTGCCTGAGATTATGTTATAAAGATAAAAAGCCGACATGCTAAGAATTCTTCTATGCCCACTGTGTCCAACACCTGGACTTTTAGCCACATGCAGCTGCTGAGCCCTGGGAATGTGACTAGTCTGACCTGAGATGCACTCCAAGTGTAAATTACACTCTGGGTTTTAATTCTGTTATTGAAAACTAGAATGTAAAACACCTCAATAATGCTTTACATTGATTTAATATTAAAATGATAGTATTTTAGATACATTGGGTTAAACAAAACATCAAAATCAGTTTCACCTTTTGTGTGTTTTTTTTTTTTTTTTTTTTTTTTGACAGGCAGAGTGGACAGTGAGAGAGAGAGACAGAGAGAAAGGTCTTCCTTTGCCGTTGGTTCACCCTCCAATGGCCGCCACGGCTGGCGCGCTGCGCTGATCCGATGGCAGGAGCCAGGAGCCAGGTGCTTTTCCTGGTCTCCCATGGGGTGCAGGGCCCAAGCACCTGGGCCTTCCTCCACTGCACTCCCTGGCCACAGCAGAGAGCTGGCCTGGAAGAGGGGCAACCGGGACGGAATCCGGCGCCCCGACCGGGACTAGAACCCGGTGTGCCGGCGCCGCTAGGCGGAGGATTAGCCTATTGAGCCGCGGCGCCGGCCCCCTTTTGTGTTTTAAGGTGGCTACTAGAAATTGTAGAATGACATACATGGTTTTCATCACGTTTCTACTGGAGGGTTTATTCTAAAAGATTATAACCAAAAGTTCACTGATTAATTCACATTGGATTTGTCCATCAGGATGCAAACTCAGGAAAGCAGCTCATACTCAGGGAGAGAATGTCCAGGGCAGTTTCTGTGTCCTTGCCTGACAGAACTTGGGCAAATCCTCAGCACACCTTTTGCAGTTTAGTAATTCACATTATAGCCTAAGCACTGACATCCCCTATGCTAGCTGGATTTTGAAATGCAGAGTGGACGCTGCTGCTCCTCTGCTGGGGGCATCCTCCCCTTGGCCTCTCATCTCCAGCAGCAGGCAGCCTGCTCCTTACAGACCTGATTGGCTTGTGTTCTTCAGGCTCCCTCTTGCTGTCTCTTCTGGCTACTCAGGTCCCATGTGAAGGACTGGACATTTTCCTAAGTAATCATTTGAAAAGATTTAGGAGGCTGGATTTATTCAGTTCATCATTCCTCATCTCCAGTCACAATACTAGGCATTACTTTGTGTCTGATTCATTAAAACAAAGTAAAGTGTTGTAGGTTTTTAAAGCTTGGTTTCATCACATTCAGAAAACACATATAAGTCAAGGAAGTCAGAGATCCAATAAAATTCAAAGGCAGCTGAAATCTCAGAACAGTATTTTAAAGGGGCGGTATTTATAACAGAATGTCTTCTTCCTGGAATTGTCCCAGAGTCCTGCACAGATGTTGCCCCAGTCCATTCCCTCCCTCTTAGATCCAGTTAATGCTGGAAGTTGTTTCTCTCACCCTTACCCTGTCTTCCAGATGGGCATTTCCCCCTGTTTCCTTCCTTTTACCCTGCCTTTTACAGCATAAATGAGTTAAATATTTTGGCAAAAGAAGACCAGAACTGAGGCTCCAAAAACAAAATTTATCTAAATGCTGAGAGAAGGGAGGTCTTATGAAATGCATACATTTATTTTTATTACCTGTTACACTAAGAAAAAATGCTGATATACTGTATGAAATATTTTTTCCTCTCCAGAGACACTTTTTTCAAAACTTAGGATCTATTTTAACATACGCCTTCTTGGGAACTGCCATCTCATGCATCGTCATAGGGTAAGTGACATTCAGAGCTCAAATTTCAAGGGGTCATGAAATTGGGGTCTCTGGGATGGATCTCACACTTCCTGTACTTACACTAACTGGGCGTATAGTCTGTTTTTTCAATAATTCACATCTACACATTTTTCTGACTGAATTCCAAGGCTTCTATATATTCTGCCAAACATAAGGCTTTAAATCAAAGCAAACTGATATTGGACTACGGGGTTTGCTCTGTGAGCTGTAGACTTCTGAACTTAGCTTGACTTGAGTTAATGAAGCGCATTGCATTGTTGGCTTGTTTTAGTTTGAATAAAGCAGATACACTCCTTGCATTCTTTTTCCATTTTCTTTGCAGGACCTTATTTGAGTTTGACAGGAATGCAATAGTAACTGTACATCAAGGGTTATCTCTCTAAAGGGAAATTTGCGGGAAGGCAGTCTGAAACAGATGTCTCTAAATATCAGCAGAGTTGTTTAATGCTGGGATGAATTTTCAGTCAATACACTAGAGAATACAGCAGCCTCCCCCCCCCCTTATATTTTATTGGTTTTGCTCTGAGCCCTAAATCAAACTATATAGACTCTGGCTTGCAGCTCATCATAAAGCAAAATGTGGTCCAACATGATGAAGCCAATCCAATTGACTTATAATCCAATGCAGGGCCTGCACTGTGGCTCAATAGGCTAATCCTCTGCCTTGCAGCGCCGGCACACCAGGTTCTAGTCCCGGTCGGGGCGCTGGATTCTGTCCCGGTTGCCCCTCTTCCAGGCCAGCTCTCTGCTTGGCCAGGGAGTGCAGTGGAGGATGGCCCAAGTGCTTGGGCCCTGCACCCCATGGGAGACCAGGAGAAGCACCTGGCTCCTGCCATCGGATCAGCACGGTGCGCCGGCCATAGCGCGCCAGCCGCGGCGGCCATTGGAGGATGAACCAACAGCAAAGGAAGACCTTTCTCTCTGTCTCTCTCACTGTCCACTCTGCCTGTCCAAATAATAATAATAATAATAATAAATAATCCAATGCAATACATTACACTCCACTGCACAGAAAGTGTCCAATTGCTGTGAGAATGGCGATGTAGATGTCTTAGACTGGCTGATGTGGCCAACTCTACCCCTGATGATTACTGCATACAGCTGTTAAAATCCTAATGCAAAAAACTGATACTAAAAACACACACTAGGCACACCTCTGGCCCTTCTCTTATGAAGTGTTATTGTGAATCCGTGGAAGGCTGTGGAGGTGTCAGGTTGTGTCTTTACTGGAATCTGAAAGCAGCAGGAGTTTGTATTCAAAGCTTTGCCTACTGGTTTTTGAGCTGAGCCTAGAGCACATTGAGCGATGTTATATGAAAATACCCAGTGTAGTTAAGACAATGGAAAAGCCAACATCTTTAGCACATGATGGTGAAGACTTGCAGGAATACAGATTGTAGCACCTCAGCAAGTCTAAATACCCACGTGGAATTTAACCGGTTTGTATTCTGACACAACAGTGTACTTGATGTTTCTCAAAGCATGGTCAGGGACCTTTTTCTGTTCTATAAGTATACTATCACTTAATATTTGAATTTCGAAACTGGCAAGAGTCTTTGAGATGTGTGATTGTAAGATTACAACTAAGAATTTATCATGGAAATTAATTTGCGTGGAAATATAGTCTTGAGAAACATTTAGAATCATGCCCTTTGTTTGAACTGCATATAATCTGAACAACAAAATCTTACAGGATGACTTCTGAAGTGGATCATTAAAACGCAAAAGCAATAGGCAGATTAAAACTTTTGGATCTGGTCTAACAAGGTAAAGGAAAGCATTGAAGATTTTTGGCTTGAGGATGACAGAGTTGGATTTATATTTTATAGTTATATTTTAGGGAGGTCATTTTGGTGGCCCAGCTAAGAGGGGAAAATGTGGCAGTCAGAAGACTGCTTAAGAGGTAATTTCCATAGTCAGGTTGTAAATGGACAGGGCCTGAACTCAAGCAGTGGCAAAGAAGGTAGATGTGGAGTCATCTTTTCCAAATCCTGGGAGAGAATGGCAGTAATGACAAGAAGAGAAGGAATCTTGGAGCAGCTCTTTTTGAAAGGGAAGAGGCACTCATAAAGGGACTACGAGATGCTGGCCATGCAGACAGCCAGAAATCCAACAGAGCATGTGTGCTCAAATTCAGGAACGAGGAAGAGGAAGTGTGGAGAACATCACACAGGAGACAGCTAGTGGGAAAGGAATTGCAGCAACCACTGGATTTGGCCCTTGGGAGGTGATGGGTGACTTTACACTTGACCCATGGGCAGAGATGAGGGGAGGATACTGGCGAATCCAATTGTTTGGGATAGGCACTGTATGACAAGAAACAAGAACTTATTTTTATGCTTTCAATATCAGGGCACGTGAGGCAGGAGGAGCACCTACTTAAATTAAGGCCAAATTGACATTTTCATAGCATGATGCCACTTGTTGTAGGAGATACATTGTGGAAAATGACTATTCATATTTTTCTGATGAATTAATTGTAATAGGAACAACATCAAGCATTATTACATACTTGACACTGCCATGCCCTTTTAAAAAGTATTTTATAGGGGCCGGTGCCGTGGCTCACTAGGCTAATCCTCTGCCTTGCAGCGCCAGCACACCGGGTTCTAGTCCCGGTCGGGGCGCCGGATTCTGTCCCGGTTGCCCCTCTTCCAGGCCAGCTCTCTGCTGTGGCCAGGGAGTGCAGTGGAGGATGGCCCAAGTCCTTGGGCCCTGCACCCCATGGGAGACCAGGAGAAGCACCTGGCTCCTGGCTTAGGATCAGCGTGGTGCGCTGGCCGCAGTGCGCAGGCCGCGGCGGCCATTGGAGGGTGAACCAACGGCAAAGGAAGACCTTTCTCTCTGTCTCTCTCTCTCACTGTCCACTCTGCCTGTCAAAAAATTAAAAAAAAATTTAAAAAAGTATTTTACAGGGATTATTTTATTTAATCCTAAATAATCCTATTAAGTAGATAACTATTTATTACATTTACTTAACAGATGAACCAGTGAGGTTTAGCAAGAATATCACGGCAGTCAGTAATAGAGCTGGGATTAGTAACCGAACAGTTTGGCTCCAGAATCCAATTCTTAATGCCAAACCCTACTCTCCTTCTGTTTGTTGATTGGTAGCACTAAAAAATAAAATCATATAAATCAGTCAACATTCACCAACATGCCATGTGGTTATTCAGTAGCTCAGTAGTTATCATACACATGGGAGGGTGGTCTTTTTAAAGATTTACTTATCTATTTATTCATTTATTTGAAAGGCAGAGTGACAGAGAGAAGGAGAGAGAGAGAGAGAGAGAGAGAGAGAGAGAGAGGAGGTGCTTCTATCTATCGGTTTATCCCCCAAATGCCTACAACAGCCAGAAAAAAAAAAAAAAAAAAAAAAAAAAACAACAGGCAGAAGCTAGGAACTCCAACCTGGTTGCCCACATGGTAGCAGGAATCCAACCATTACCTGATGCCTCCAGGCACCAGGAAGCTGGATTAGAAGCAGAGTAGCCAGGACTTGATCCCAGGCACTTCCAGTATGGGGTTCAGGTTTCCCAAGGGGCAGAATAACTCACTGTACTGCAACACCGGCCAGCATGGGAGACTGTATTTGGGAATTCCATCTAAATATGATTCACATTTTTAAAAGGAAGAGGAGATATTTGGGTTTCTACAGAGGTGCTCATACTTGCACAAAATGGGTAGGAGGAAGGATTCAGGACAATCCATTAGATTGGGCCCTGTGAGACTAGTCTCATGCAGGAAGTAGATTCTGGCAGTCACTTAATGTAGACAGTTGAGGCAGTCAGATGTTTGGTGCTACCAACTGCATTGGTTTTGGTGGGTGTGGGGCACATTGTGCAAGGTTCCAGATTGGAGAGTAGATTTCACATAGCAGAGGCAGATGATGTGGACCTGAAATGTGGAGGAATCAGTGGATGCCAGGCCAGAAGCCTAGGATTAGATTTGTGTAAGAAGCTTAGAGCAGAGCTGAACTCACAGGCTTTACATGAACTGAGATCATGGGGTTCATTCGGATGAGTTCTGACCTAACTTGGTTATATTTCTATCACTTAGTTAAGTTTTATTAACCTCACAGTGTTTCAGAAATTAGATTTAATCAATCTTTCATATCACATTGGAAAATTTAACAATATCCTTTCTTTTAAGGATTGACTATTCTTGAAGAATTTTAAAAATATTTATTTATTTAAAAGGCAGATAGAGGGAGGGGAGAAGGGAGACAGAGAGAGAGAGAGTGAGAGAGAATCTCCCATCCACTGATTCATTCCATCCCCTCGACAGCCAGATTATTAATTTTAAGAATAACTCAGTTTTTACACATATCCTCTCATTTTGTTGTCACAAATACCTAGGAAGTATGTACTACCATTTTCCTCGTTTTACCCACCAGAATGCCCAGCCTGGGACTGGCCCAAGGTTGCACAATAAGTAAATGGCAGTAAGGCACAGACCCACCTGAGTCTGGAACCTACACTCTTAAGATCTCCTCTTCCGAGTGGGAAAGGGGAGGGTTGTGGGTGGGAGGGACGGTATGGGGGGGGAAGCCATTGTAATCCATAAGTCGTACTTTGGAAATTTATATTCATTAAATAAAAGTTAAAAAAAATAAAAATTAAAAAAGACAAAAAAAAAGATCTCCTCTTCCTTCTAAAATGATACTTTACATTTCCCGTGATATTTTTCTATTTTTCAATTAATAACTACATATGTCTGACAAAAACCTCACTAATGTCAGAATCTTAAATGCATCACTATGGCTTGCAAATATGAAAAATCTGATTTCTTTTTTGCATTTGAAGGTGCATTCCCTGCATTTTAATGTTTTCCAATGGAGATGTGTGTTTCTTGTCAATATTTAAGAAGTGGCTATCAGAGCCCAGCCTTAAGGTACAGTTGGTGAAGCCAGTGCCTGCCTGTGGTGCCATCATCCCATATGAGCACTTGTTTGAGTCCTGGACGCTCTACTTTCAATC